CACCACCACCACCACCACCACCAGAACCTGATGGATCTTCACAGCTGTATGCCCAGGTCTGTCTCAGGGCCCAACAGACATTCAAAAGTGGTCTTTTACAAGATGAATCCCCCTTACCTCAGGCTGGAGCCAAGCATGAAGCCATTTTGTTCACTTTTAGTCTACTCCAGTACACTGGCAGACCTTCTAAGTTCTAAGTCCAAGCACCCCAGCAGTAGCCTCATTTCCCCCTGGGCATTACTCCTTTGTGACTTCACCCACTGAAGTCACCTTCTCAGTGACTTTAGATTCAATTTCTAGGATTAGAAACACGGGCAGACATTTGGGTCTCATAAGCCTCTCTTACCTCAGGCTGGAGCCAAGCATGAACCCATTTTGATCACTTTTAGTCTACTCCAGTACACTGGCAGACCTTCTAAGTTCTAAGTTCAAGTGGCCCAGGCAATAGCTGCATTTCCCCCTGGGCATTACTCCTTTGTGACTTCACCCACTGAAGTCACCCAGAAGACAGTGCTGAATGTTCCATGCTAGAGTCTTGGGCCTCTTAGGAGGCAGGGACAGCAGGCCTGGCCAGCTCAGAGGACTCTCTGTCCACAGTGTAAATGAGGACACTGCTGGCCCATGTCTGGCAGGGATGTAGAGGGCAGCCTCAGAGGCACTGGGCACTCCCGGCACCATGGATGACGCTGCCGTCCTCAAGCGACGAGGCTATCCCGGCACCATGGATGACGCTGCCGTCCTCAAGCGACGAGGCTACATCATGGGGATAAACTTAGGAGAGGGCTCGTATGCCAAAGTCAAATCCGCTTACTCTGAGCGCCTAAAGTTCAACGTGGCGGTCAAGATCATCGATCGCAAGAAAGCCCCCACGGACTTCCTGGAGAAATTTCTTCCCCGGGAGATTGAGATTCTGGCCAAGCTAAACCACCGCTCTATTGTCAAGACCTATGAGATCTTTGAGACATCAGATGGCAAGGTCTACATTGTCATGGAGCTTGGGGTCCAGGGTGACCTCCTTGAATTCATCAAAACCAGAGGAGCCCTGCAAGAGGACGATGCTCGAAAGAAGTTCCACCAGCTCTCCTCGGCCATCAAGTACTGCCACGATCTGGATGTCGTCCACCGAGACCTCAAATGCGAGAACATTCTGCTCGACAAGGACTTCAACATCAAACTGTCTGACTTCGGCTTCTCCAAGCGCTGCTTGCGGGATGATAGTGGTAGACTGACATTAAGCAAGACCTTCTGTGGGTCAGCAGCTTATGCAGCCCCCGAGGTGCTACAGGGCATCCCCTACCAGCCCAAGGTGTATGACATCTGGAGCCTGGGTGTGATCCTCTACATCATGGTCTGTGGCTCCATGCCCTATGATGACTCAAACATCAAAAAGATGCTGCGTATCCAGAAGGAGCACCGCGTCAACTTTCCACGCTCTAAACACCTGACTGGTGAGTGTAAGGACCTCATCTACCGAATGTTACAGCCAGATGTCAATCAGCGGCTGCACATTGATGAGATCCTCAGCCACTGCTGGATGCAGCCCAAGGCACGAGGTCTGTCCTCTGGAGCCATCAACAAGGAGGGGGAAAGCTCTCGGGCCACTGAGCCCTCATGGACCCCTGAACCTGGTGCTGATAAGAAGTCTGCCACCAAGTTGGAGCCTAGGGAAGAGGCACGACCCGAGGCCCAATCTGAGACAAAACCCCAGGAAGATTCTGTGCAGGTGGCCAGGCAGTCGGAGAACGTGGGCCTCAGCAGCGAACTGAACAGGGACACAGAGGAAGGGCACCCCCAACAGCCTTCAGAGACACATACTTAATGGGCCTCTTGCAGCCCAGGGGGCCAGCAGGGAATGAGGCAGAGCTCATGGCTTGAAGCCTGAGCCTAGAAGTCAAGGGAGGAGAGAGAAGGAAGACACTCCCGGATGCGCTATTTTCGTCACTTTCTTCTCCCCCCTTTGAACTTGGTAACTCACATGGCTGAAGAAGCAATAAATGACTATAGTGGAGCACACCCTCTGTCAGGTGACTGTCTTTGCCCCATCACTGGAGTCCCGTGCTCCTCTCGTCTTCCTATCAGACTGCAAATCCTCACTCTTAGGGAAATCCATCCCTGCACCCCAAATCCGGACTATCCTTAGGCTACGGAGAGGAAGCTGTACCAGTGAGGCTGGTTGGAGGGATTTGGAGGGGCAGAGGCCATGGGAGATAGCTAAGTGAAGAAGATAACTTCTAGAGGAAGGCTGAGAACTGCAAAGAAAGGTGGAGAGAAAGCACGGGGAGGCTAGTCCAAGAAGGATAAACCTAGCAGCCTGTAGAGGAAGGGCTGGAAGGCAGAGCCCTATCTTGCACTAGGAGAGCTGGCTTTCTGCATCAGGGACTCAGGGTCTAGGTAGGTGTTTTATCACTACCCCAGGGCTTCAGGCTGCACAAAGCTGCCTGCAAGGGGTTGGGGAGAGTATAGAAGGCACACTGACCAGCCCTATAGTACCTCTTGGGACTTGCTTAGCAGCTGGTTTTTCAGCTCTGCCCAGCATAAGACATGTTCCTCCCTGTCCAGCTAGTACCCAGTTCTCAACTGTGCCCTAAATTGCTACATGCCACTGCTTCCCAGCCTAGGAATAAAGGGCTCCGCTAGCTAACCCAAGCATGTCCACAGCCCTGTATAGCTTTTGACTGTATCCCATTCCCCTCCAGTTCCAGAGGAGATGCTCCAGCAAAGCTGGAAGCTGACCTCTGCAAAGCAAAACTGGCAGCATGTCTGAACCCTATGGGCAAGGAAGGCAGCTACTGGTTTTCCAAATGGGCATGGCCTGTACCTGGCACCACAGGCTTCTATGTGCTGCCTGCCTTGTTTACATCTTGTCCCAGGCAGTCCTCACCTTGCCATTGTGGCCCCTTCACCTCACTCTGGGCAACCTCATGGAAGTCTAAGGGTTTAACACACAAAAACAAAAACATTTAGACTCATCTCAACCCTGGACCCAACTATGTCTCAACCTTGGGAATACACCAATGGCAACTACCCTAGAAAAGTGGTGTCAGTGAGTTCCTGGATGTGACCTTCTTGCACCCATGCCACATCCAGCCCACCTTTGGCCCACTGTGCACTGTTCTACCCATTGCCTCCCAGTGTTCATAGGCTACATCCTCCCATGCTCAGAATTTCAGTGCTAGCTTGCGATCTGCCCACCAATGCCCTCTCATCCCTGTACCCAAACACGTGTGCTGTAAGCATACTTGCCAATTCACCTCTGAAGACTGTGCCCATCTCCCCAGGCTCAGCCAAGGGGCTTTGTCCTCCTCAAAGCCTTCTGGGACCAAGCAACACTCTGTAGCCTGCTTCTGTGAATTTTGCCTGTGAGAACCAAGTATTCAGGGTTCAGGCATAGTACAGACCCTCAGCAACACTCGAGTGAGTGAGACTGGACAACTGTCATGAAGGAACTTGGATGGGGCAGAAGGCTCCAGAACATGGGGCTAGCTGGTGGGGTGTGCTGAGAAGTGTGTAGGCACCTGCCTTTTCATCTCTGAAGTCTTGCCAAAGTTTGGGAGACAGAAGACACCAAGATGGCCTGAGGCTGCTTGGAATTCAAGGAGCAGACAGTTGAGATAGGACATGACACAAGAGCACCTGCTGTGTGCATCACTCAGCGGTAAGAGGACCAGGATTTCAAGGTGACCTCTATGGTATACTCTTGTTCCCCATATCTTTTCCCTCTTGTCCACACTGCACTACATCACTTCCTGTTTGATGCCTTCTGCCCCACCTCCCCATCTAGAAACAGGCCTTCTTGCTTTCCCTCTTAACACAGCACCTTCACATTCTGGCAACTCGATGAAAGGATAAGATTCCTGTGGGATGTGAAAATGAGCACAGGACTTCTAAAGGAGCCAGGGGTGTCCACAGGATGCCACCTTGCAAAACAAACATCCATGCACAGAAAACAAGACAGTCCAACTGCAAATAGTGAGCACTGCCATAGCACTTCTTGTAGGCCCGGCTCACTAGCTCACAAACTCCAAGCTTGCTCTTTCATACACATGTTAAGGGCTATCAATCCCTGGGCTATCCAGCACCAAACCTAAACAGTCCCCTCCTCACTAACCAGGCCCAGGTTGGCTTTTCCTAATCCTTTCCCCTCCCCTTGACCCTCAGATGCTTGCTCTGGCTGGAGGCCTTAGGCCTCCACAGGTATCCCAAAGCCAATTGGCTTCTTCTCTTAACAGCAACCATCTTAAAAGGGATGGTTTTATATGATTCTATCTTAGGTTCTATAAGGGATGCCCATCATTTGCAGAAAACAGCTCATGACCTTCTTCCCTGACTTATGCCTGAAGCATGCGCAGCACTTGTCTGCGTGGGTACCTCACCTTGTACATCTGGTTGAAGCCTCCCCATCATCCACACCACACTCTCCCAAGCATGTACCTGCCAACCTCGGCGCATCCCTGTGTACTGTCTCCCCTCCCACCCCACACACCTGTTCACCAGGGATGTGGCTCATCTGCCCACTCTGTAGCCCAAAGATCCCAAACATGGAACCGCTTTCATCCAGTAGACTGGAACCACCACTGGACTGACTGGACCTGGGCAGCTTCCACTGACTGATACACACTCATAGGAAGTTTTCTTCAAACAAACCTCAAAGAAGTGGCAGGGAACTGGCTCTGGTGACGTGAGGACCAACACAGGACCAGTTCCCATGGCCCGACAGGGAAACAGGGATGAGACAAGACCTGTATCGCTTCTCTTTGGGCCTCACTGGTGACAATGAAGCCACAGCAAGAAAAAGGGCCAGGGAAGGTTACCACAGGCTTGAATGGCAGCTTCATTCCAGTGGGTGGGGAGGGGGTGCTTCTTCTAGGCCTTCCTGGCTTCCATCCAGGGGCCCCATTCCCCAAGCCCAGTCCCCACTCCCCGCAGCTCAGCTTTATGACTTCACGGGCTGTCACTTGGTGACAGTGCTGAGCGTTCCACCCCAGGCCCAGCCCAGCCAGACGCCTCCCCCAGCGGGAATGAGGACAATGCCTGCTGGCCCGTGTGGGGAGGGGATGTAGAGGGCGGCGGCATCCGCCGCTCCTGGCACCATGGACGATGCCGCGGTCCTAAGGAAGAAGGGTTACATCGTGGGAATCAATCTGGGCAAGGGCTCCTATGCAAAAGTCAAATCTGCCTACTCAGAGCGCCTCAAGTTCAATGTGGCAGTCAAGATCATTGATCGCAAGAAAACACCCACGGACTTTGTGGAGAGATTCCTTCCCCGGGAGATGGACATCCTGGCGACCGTCAACCACCGTTCCATCATTAAGACCTATGAGATCTTTGAGACCTCTGATGGACGCATCTACATTGTCATGGAGCTGGGTGTCCATGGCGACCTCCTCGAGCTCATCAAGTGCCGAGGAGCCCTGCATGAGGACGTGGCACGCAAGATGTTCCGCCAGCTCTCTTCAGCTGTCAAGTACTGCCACGATCTGGATGTCGTCCACCGAGACCTCAAGTGTGAGAACCTTCTGCTCGACAAGGACTTCAACATCAAGCTGTCTGACTTCGGCTTCTCCAAGCGCTGCCTGCGGGACGGGAGCGGGCGCATCGTCCTCAGCAAAACCTTCTGTGGGTCAGCAGCTTATGCGGCCCCCGAGGTGCTGCAGGGCATCCCCTACCAGCCCAAGGTGTATGACATCTGGAGCCTGGGTGTGATCCTCTACATCATGGTCTGTGGCTCCATGCCCTACGATGACTCTGACATCAAAAAGATGCTGCGCATCCAGAAGGAGCACCGCGTGGACTTCCCACGCTCCAAGAATCTAACTGGTGAGTGCAAGGACCTCATCTACCGCATCCTACAGCCAGATGTCAACCGGCGGCTGCACATTGATGAGATCCTCAGCCACTCGTGGCTACAGCCCCCCAAGCCCAAAGCCATGTCTTCTGCCTCCTTCAAGAGGGAATGGGAAGGCAAGTATCGAGCTGATTGCAAGCTGGATACTCGACCAGGCTCAAGACCTGAACACCGGCCTGACCACAAACTGGGGACCAAACCCCAGCACCGGCTGCTGGTGGCACCTGAGAATGAAGACAGGATGGAGGAGAGGCTGGCTGAGACTTCCAGAGCTAAAGAACATCACATCTCTGGAGCTGAGGTGGGGAAAGCAAGTACCTAGTGGTGGAGAGGGCCCTTGCGGGGTCATGGTGTGCAGTCTGCACCCATATAAGCTAAGTAGGCAGGTAGGAGCTGAAGAAGGCACAGGTGCAAGGAACAAGTAAAATCCGTCAATTAAACCACTATTTTGATTACGTTCTATTAGCTTTCTTCCACTTCGTAGCAAAGCCATTAATTACTGACCACCAAATAAACCACAAAGTATATACAAGCATTGAGAGTGCCCAGTGGGGAGTCTTTTTCTCTAGGACTCATCCAGCGCGGGGATCTCCAGCATAGGGGTTCAGGAACCTGTACTCAGGCACAGGCAGACTCAGTGAGGCCTGTGGCAGAGGGGGCCTCTATTGCACCCTTTTGCTAGGCTCATACTTGTGGGCCTCTTTCTTCCATCCCCAAGGTCTTCAGCACTGGACAGCTCCAAGATTCTCTTTTATCTTATGCAATACAAGCCACCCTGCCCCTATCTTGTTCTTACACAGTGGTCATTGTCCATTCACTTCAAAGAGGCAATCAGAGACCTTTGCTGTGCAAGTCTCGCCCTCATCATCCCCAGGAATGGGGCAGCCCGCCTGGCATCTTGTTGCTATTTTATCCATTCTGTAGACCTGCAATGCCCAACCCTCGGCAGCCCTCAAAGCGCCTAGATGCCATTTCCTGGTTACCATCTCTCCAAATGCTTGAGGTGGTCAGCACCCAGACCGCACCCATCCTCCCCATCTCCTGTCTCTGCTTCCCACTCACTGGAGGAATCCTTTGGATTGAAGCTCAAGCTTCCCTAGCCCAGGATCCTGGGGCAGCCTCACTGTGGGGAACTTGTGGTTAGTAGAGGCCTGGTCTGGTTTGTCTGTTACCTTGACAGAAAACACTAGATAAACACTTGATAGAAAAATAGCTTAAGAGGAAATGGTTTATTCAGCTCACACTTTTGGGTCATCATCCATCACTGAGGGAAGCCAGAGCAGAAACAAGTAGGAGCTGAAGCAGAAACCATGAAAGAGTGCCGCTTCCTGGCTGGCTTTCTCTCTCTGGCTTCCTCCCTGGCTTTCTTACACAACTCAGGACCACTTGCCCAAGGATGCCACTGTTGGGCCCTGCCCTCCTACGTCAATTAGCAATCAAGAAAATGTCTGCAGATATGCCATCAGGCCAATATGACAAGAGGTAATTCTTCAATTGAGGTTCCTTCTTCCCAGGTAATTCTAGCTTCTGTCAAACTGACAAACACAAGACCCAAGGAGGAAAGTACCCAACACCAGTGGTCTCCAGAGAACGTGAGTGCTGAGGCCCGAGAGGCCCAATGCCAGCAGACTAGAAAAGGTGGCTCTCATGGAATTAAAGCAAGACCTGGGTGTCAGAAGAGTCTGGTGGATTTAGGCTGCCTCAACAGCCAGGGCTGCTCAGAGGGCAGGCCCTAGGATGCCACTTGTAGCCTGAAAACTGTAGGCTGGCGGATTAGATCCCAGTTTTTGACTCTGTTAGGCCAAGCAGGGACCCTTCATCTCTCTCTAGGCACAGGCTCACAGGTGTGGCTGGCCTCTAGTCACCTGAGGACTAGTTACTCTCAGTTGCTGGTGCACATAGCGTTTGCAAGTTCGCAGGGAGCCCACATTCTTTCTTCTCAAAGTACACCTCAGGCTGAGGTAAAGCTGGTGTCTCAGCAGAGTCCAGTAGGCAGAGCTGAAGAACACTGGGTCAAGCAGAGAAGAGGACAGGGAGGCAGCCAGGTTGCTGGGAGGTGGTACTGGCTCAAGTCACAGGAGTAGGACTGGCCCTGGTGAGCCTGACATGCAGGTCCTGCCAGAGCCAGTAACCAACAGACCGAATGACTAGCCCTGGCTGGGAGGCCCCACAGCTCAATGGGTCTGTGCTACTCTTTACAGTGGAAGGCTCAGGGGTGATCTCAGCATAGACGACAGCTCTGTGAGCCAAAGTTTCCTCCCCTAGAGACCCTTGCTTCTAACCCCGAGGTCCCAAGACACCCACGTGGACCCCATGGCATGGATCAGCAGCCTGGCCAGACAGTGCCAGGTATTCTTTAATGAGGATTCAGTTGGGGGTTAACTAGAAGGCATTTTCAGCAGGGCCCTGGGGGACAGCACCAATGCCATACTCCCAAGGGAGTGGTCAGTGTAATGTGCCAACCTGGCCCGGGCACAGCTCTATATACTTGTGGTCTGGGTCTCCAAGGCCTGGAATCCTCTGAGGAGTAGAAAGCTGCCCTAGACGCTCCACAAAGTGTCCCACAAAACATCCACAGGTCCAGCCAGGCCTGGCTCTAAAAGAAGTCTGAAGCTTTGCGCCGGGCAGGAAGCTGCAGCAGATTGTCTGTGATGGAGGTTGGGTCCTGTGTGAGGGGTGTACGTGTAGCAGACCCAGGGGCTGGTGTGCTTGTGGGTGTCTGCGGCCCACCAGTTGGGGTCTTGAGGTGGGTAGAGCGTGCTGGGGATGGTGTATAGCTGGCCCGCAGGGCACGATCTGTGTACTTGCTGGCTGTCCTGCTTACGAGGCGCTGTAGGGCTGGGGACATGGCTGGGCTCAGGCCTTTGGGAGTAAGACTGTAGAGAAGGGACAGAAGAAAGCAACCATGTTAGAGGGTAAGGGCTGCTTAAGGCAAAGCCTCCCTCAGCCCCTCAAGAGGAGCCCTATTGAGAGACATGGTCACTCTGAGCTGAGAAAGATAACATTGTTCACACAGCAGTTAGGTGAAACCTGAGGCCCTACGGAACTGCTTCCTTTGGCTGCCGGGCTGGACAGATCAAAGACTTTTGAGAGCCGGAGTCTCCTACCTTTATGTAACTCGAATGACATTGACCCACAGGACTAACAGGAACTTGTAGTCGGGTAAGGAGCCAAAAGGGAAAAGCTAAGGAGGAAACTGAGGGAAGATGACGGAGAGGGAGGAGACTGAGGGGGATGACAGAGAGGGCCTCCCAGCCTGCTCCATACACATTCTGCAGTGGAGAAGCAGCCACAGCACTTACAGGAGAACCCTGTGGGTACCCTGGGCTCTGTCCTGCAAGCTGTGTACACACATGGCCTTGGAGGTGGGGAGAGTAGGAATGAAGCAGGCCCACTTATCTCTACCCCCACTCCTGCCCAAGGACCCAGCTGCTTCTCACCTGGCCAAGTTCTCTGTAACTCTCCGCAACGCTTCCTGCTTCTTGGCCCGGTTTTTGGCAGCTGCTTCATTGGCCATCTTCAGGCCCAGACGCTCTCTGCGTCCTGGCTCCAAGATCTACAAGGCAGCAGGCATATGGGTGACCTGTGCTGGACCTGGCCAAATAGTCCGTTATCCAGAAGACCAGTTACTGTGTCACCGTTTCCTCATGGCTGCTCCAGTCCCAGCCACTCGCCTTTCCCAATAGCCTATCAAAAGGCACCTTCCCACCACCCCACCACCAACTGGACATAGTGGTGTATTCCTGCAATCCCAGCAACTGGCAGGAGAATTTCAAGACACCCTGAGCTACAAAGTGAGACACTGTGTTAAAAAACAAACAACTCCAAATGGCTCAATGGGTAAAGGTGTTTGCTAAAAGACTGACAACCTGGTTTGAACCCTCTCCTGAGACCTCAAGGGTGGGAAGAGAGAAAGAAGCACTCTTTCTTACAGCTTGTCCCCATGACCTCCACATATGTGCTGTGTGGTATGTGTCATGCATAGATGCTTAACACACATACTCACACAAACAATAAATGTAAAACAAAACAAAATGAGCTCCTGAGAGCTGGGAGTGGCAGTACATGCCTTCAGTCTCAACACTTGGGAGGTGGCAGATCTCTGAGTTTGATCCACACAGTGAGTTGCAGGCAAATCTGAGCTACATATGGAAACCCCCTCTCAAGAAGCAAAAACAAACAAAAGAGCTAGTCTCAGCACTTTGGACGCTAAAAGAAATGGCGGGTATGCACAGGAACCAGGTCCTGGGTAAAATCTCCAGCACAACACAGAACAAGAACAAAACCAAACAAACAGTGACAGTTTAAACCACGTTATCTTCTAGCTGTTTTTACAATTGTTTATATTGAAATTCTTCACTTTTCTGGAACTTACTTTGCTGTTACCAATACTCAGGACCTAGTTTACTTTATCCCCAAAGGCCTGGCAATCCTGTACCATCTTTCCATACCCTCCACTCTTTGTGCATCCTGCTTGACACCTGGGCAACAAAGGACACAGCAGGCTACATGTGCCCTGTCCCCTGCAGAGCTGGCCCAGGGCTTATTTTGTCTCAGAACTCTCTGCCTTGGTAGAGGCCACTGGGGGTCTAGTGTTGCTTCCTGTGCAGCCAGTCAGAGCCTTGGCCACACAGCATCTTGTGTGTTCCTCTCTCATATCTGTCTTGGTTATCTTATATCCCAGACAGTCTATAACCAAGACCTCCAAAATCTCTACTCATGATTTGTCTAGGTGTGTAGCCCATCACCTCTCCAACCTGCTCTAGACAAGAACCCCAGGGCCATGTCAGGGGGCCCTGCTGGCTTGGTCAAGGAAAGTGGTGTCAGGACCACAGCACAAGTCTGACATTTGCTTTCTGAGAGCTATACTGTGCCCGCCAGGTGACTGATACCACTGCTGCACTAACATGACCCCTTCCCACCACACTCCAAACTGATCACAGGCAGTCTGGAAGGCCTGGCTTAAGATGATCTGTGACCCAGGCACTAAAGCATATCTATATATTTATCCAACACTGTATTTGATCCTGTTGGGTTTCCAAAGATTCACATTCTTGGCCTGCCCATGCATACTGTGAGTCACTGGGGCTCAGCACCCTCAGAGTACCAGGGCCTTTCTTTGTTCACTTTCCAAACTCCACCAGACACTGCTTCATCCACAAACTCCCGATAGCCCTGGACACTGTACGTTTTCTCCCCAGAGCTCTCGGGGCACTATCTGCCCAGCCATCAGGGGCCACCTGACTGTATATGCTGTCTGCCTACCTTTAGTTTCCTGCTCACCTGACAGGGGCCACATGATGTACACCGGCCCTATATGACTTGGACTTTCTGGTCTGCCCTAGGTCTTGACCTCCATTCTACCCACACCTACAATACTGGGTTTATACTGTATTATATTGAGAATCTTTAACTATACTAGTAACCAGAGGCTAGTCCTTCTGGGGACACACATGGTATCCCACAGTCTTCATGCCCACAGCGCAGTTGGAGTTCCTGGTCTGACTCTGTGACAGTGTAGCCTCTAGGCCTGCTTTATTGCCTTGGCATGGCCTCCACTCTTCCAAATCCCTCTGACAATCCTACCATAATGCCCTCTTCTGAACAAGTCCAGTGTGTGTGCGAGTCCTGCAGTTGGTACTAAGGCATCCAAACTAAGTCCCAGATCAATCCCCACTCAGCACAACGCACCAGCACAACACACCTTGAACGTGGGTCCAGGTGTCCTGTCCACATAGGGGCTCTCGGATCCTTCAACTCGCAAGGGCGTGTTCTCAACCTCTCCCCATGTCATCAGTGGGGACTCATTCACACCTGCAGAGGGAGAGCATAAACCTCAGGCCAGAATACCTAGTTCGGGAGTTATCTTTCTCCCTAATAAATGTAGCCTCACTGACACTAAGGCCAACAGACAAACTCCTCTTCTTCCCTCACCATTTGAAGAGAAAATTCAAAGACAGCAGAGCCCCAAGGCAAGATGGCTATACTTAGGTCAAGGAAGGCAGATCTAGGACCCCATCCTAGCACAGGCCCGGGGGTGTCAATGGAAGAAAACACTCTTGTTTTCCAAGGAACACTGCATTTCCTAAATGCCAGTGCAACCATATGGTGCCTTCATATGGTATCACATTACATATGACACCCTCTGGCATCACATTACAGCAACCAGCACCTGGTGTGGAGGCCAGCGTGTAGTGAGGCACCAAAGCCAGCCAAGTTTCACCTGCCTCCCTTGCAATGACTGTAGGACTAGTGTCCAGAACCTCTCCGCCTACAGAACTCTCCAAGCTTACATGAATATGAACTATGCTTACATCAACAGTCTGCCCATTCACACCATAGGCAAGACCAGAGCAACCGGAAGCATTTCAGGTCACACATGGGAGAGTCTAGCCTGTGCACAGCCCTGTCCAGCTTGGGCTTATAGCCTACTTCTTACCAGGAGCAGGAGAAGGAGTAGCAACAAATCCAAAGCCGCCCACTCTGGGGGACTCCTGGGGAATGAGTTCCTTGCCATCAGGGCCAACCTTGCCCTGTTTGTGCTGGAAGAGCAGAAAGAGACCAGTGTTAAAGGGGTCTCCACAGCTGACTATGGTAGGTGCTGAGGTACACGTCAGGAGCACTTCTCCTTCCTGGGAAAGAGCTGGGGCTATAGGAGAGAAGGAAGACATCCATTCTCACCTCTCTTCAAGGATGTTGAGGAAGTGTAGCAGTGAACACCAAGCAAAGGGTGCCCCTTTCCTCTACCCAAGGAAGAGCCTCTTGGGTTGCAATGCTCCAGAGGGCCAGTGCTGGCTCTCCCCTGTGGCATCTGAGTCTTTCCATCTCCTGGTTCGCCTCTAACCCCATGATGATCAAGGACACTCTGAGATCACTTACTCATCCTGAACCCAGGCTCTCAGCGGTCAGGCTCTCTGCACTTTCCCGTGTACACCGCTCTACTCAGCTCGCTGACTGCTACATAGGTATGACATATACATATGAGGTGTGCGTGGATGTATATATGTATATATATATGTGTGTGTGTGTGTCTATGTATATACATATGTACATAGACACACACATACATACGTACATACGTACATACATACATACATACATACATAGCCTCCAGAAGCTTCTTTCCTCTCTGGCCAACATCATAGGGGCTGGTACAGGGCTGGACCCATAAGTCTTATGTCTAGCACCAATGGAAGGGGTCAAAAGGAGATAAAGGTCCTGCCACACAAGGGCTGTAGTAGCTCTGCCAATTAAGCTCCATCTAGCCTCATGAAAATCCTAACTTAAAGGGACAACCACTGTGGGAGACACCACACTTCTCCATAGTTTTCCCAGTGCACCTGTTCAGTGGCCTGGTAGCTCTGCTAACTCACCTGGGCATTGAGGGCAGCTGCCTGTTGAAGCTGGGACCTGCTCAGAGCCTGACTGAAGGGGTCCCGGAGGAAGCGTGTGTTCTTATGCACTATCTGCCGTGGCTTCTTGAACAACTGCTCTTCATCAGGAACACCTACCAAAGGAAGAAAAGGTAGCAGGGGACCCAAGGTGGTAGGAAGCCCCATGCCTCACCTCAACCTTACAGTCACGCAGACTGAAGGCTGACAGTATACCTCCTTAGCCAAGTCACCCCGGCAGAGCAGAGCAGAGGTGCCTTAGTTCACAGACCCTCAACAAAGCAGCAGGGGAGACTGTAATGTCCTAAAATGTCACACATTTCCCCAAGCCCAAGATGGACCAGGACTTCTCTGTGGTCCACGCTGCAAGTGGACATATACACATAGACTTTAAAAGCTGCCTCAAAGGTAACAAGACAGACCACTGTAGCCCTTGTCTTCTGCCCTGTCCTCAGCCCTGTCCACTCACCCTCTGGATAGTACATGAGAGAGTTCTTGGCCTTGTACTTCCAGGTCTCCACTCCAGCTTGACTGCTCTCAATAGCTTGGTGCTCTGCCGATGGGAGTTCAAGATTATCTTTCTGTCGCTATAGTGACATGGGGGGGAAAGTAGGGTTAGAGAGGCACCCAGACCCTGTACCTGTGGCCCTGGGACTCCATCCCAAAAGAAGGTGCCTTTGTTCTCAAGCTCCAGGGCTACCTTCTCAAATTCCTCCTCAGCCTGGTAGAGCCACGCATGGCGGGCATGGCTTTTTTCCTTGGCCACCTCCATGATCTCCTGGAAGGAGGCGTTGTCCTCACTTGTGTAGCGGCTTAAGAAGACATCCAGGCTGGGCAGTGGCTCCTTCTCCTCCTCCTCTCCAGCCTCGCCTGCTAGAGTCACAAGTAGGGAAATGAATACCACACACAGCTTGATTACCACTGTAGGGCTGAGGAGACCACCCTAGTTTGTAAGAGTTCCTGTAGGTGACAGACAAACTCTGACTATTCAGGCAGACCCAGGTGGTAGCCACAGCTGACTGGCCAGCTCCGTTTATCTGCTGGATGCCAAGAGAAGTCTAGGATCTGGTTCCCTAGTGAAGGGGCAGGGTAAGACACTAAAGCAGAGCTCATGAGGACAGCTTAGTAGGTGCTTCTCTGCCCGAAGTATATTAACCCTGTAGGATCTATCTCCAAAGCCCTGTGAGCTCTCCTTTCCTGCCTGGAATTGTCTTTCCCGTCCCTTTCTGACTGATATTACAGCTGAGTGGTGGCCACTCAGTTGTCAGTATGACAGTTAATTCCTTTTTTTTTTTTTTTTAAGATTTTCTTTTTATTTATGAGTACACTGTAGCTGTCTTCAGACATACCAGAAGAGTGCATTAGATCCCATTTCAAATGGTTGTGAGCCACCATGTGGTTGCTGGGAATTGAACTCAGGACCTCTGGAAGAGCAGTCATTGCTCTTAACCACTGAGCCATCTCTTCAGCATGACAGTTAATTCCTAAGGCAGGAGCTCATATGGCCCAGGGCTCCAGGGAGCCCCACACAGACCCTAGGCCATAAAGCCAACCATATCACCTTGATCCCTGCTAAGAGGGAAAGTGATGCTCTTGAAGAGATAGCAGGGGGACGTGTGAAGCTGAAGTTTCTCATCCATTCTATTGACAGGTCTTGACCACCAGCTGTGTGCCAGCCAAACACAGTGGTTATAAGTCCAAGTCCTGAGGTTAGAAAAGGACAGACTTAGGCCAGGTGGTGTTAGCACATGCCTTTAATCCCAGCACTTGGGAGGCAGAGGCAGGCGATTTCTAAGTTTGAGGCCAGCCTGGTCTATAGAGTGAGGAACAGCCAGGGCTACACAGAGAAACCCTATCTCAAAAAGCAAAACAAAACAAAAACAAACAGAAAAATCAAACAAAACAAAACAAAAAAAACCCCAAAAAAACAAAAAACAAAACCAATCAAACAAACAAAAGACCCCAAAAAAACCCAAAAAACAAAACAAAACTAACAAACAAACAAACAAAAAAAAAAAAAAGGAAAGGGGCAAACCTGGGCTCCATTCTATTGTTATTCCTGACACCTATAGAAGTTATAGCCTTTTGAAGAGTTTCCCACATGTGTAATTACAAGGCCTCTTACGTTTACTGGTAAAATATATGTATATAGAAGAACATTCTTCAAATTGGAAGCCAAGACCCTGCTTTCCGGGACAACTTGCCAGTTAGTAATTAGGGTGAGAGGCAATAAACAGAAAGGACCCTGAACAGTGAGGGAAACACAGTGAGACTCTCTGGTCTCAACAAAATAGACAAATCAGAAAACCAAAGGCAGTCATTAAGGACAGAGCTCCAGGTGTCCCCAACTTTACACAAAAGGTCAAGAACCCAGTGTCCAGACTATCTTCTGCCTCTAAGCCCAAACATGTAACACCTGAATACTGACCTGAAAGGAGAGAGACACACAAGCAACTACCTTGGAAATATAGAGGTAGAAGGGGCCTGAGGCGTCTTCAGGAGACATCAATGAAGAGCCTTGTAAGCCCACAATGCCCACAAGGCAAAGGCTGGCACACTAAATGCACACTGGTGATGGTACTGGGCTCTCCTACCAGAGATAGGCCAGAGGCAGAGAACACAGGTCCTCTACAACTGGGAGCTGGTCTCAACTCTTCTGCCTCCCAGACCAGTATCTCTGATCCCCGAAAATGATGCTTAGGAGGATGAAATGTGACCCTGAGAAAATTCACAAGAATATGATTCCCAAGCAGTCTTGGCCATGAGACCAAAAGAGTTAGTTCACTCACCATCATCTAAGTCTCGGCCCTGGGGCCGGGGCTTGCTGCCTAGCACACTAGAGCCCGGGTGTACCTCAGGAGTTTCAAAGGTGGCTGGAGTGACATCTGAGGGAAGCAGAGCAGAAATCAGAGTGAGCTTTCCGTGACAACAGACTTGCCCCTACACCTTCTACAGCAGCATCCTCTTACAGGGTGGTGGAGGTTCCCGAGATATCTTGCCCAGGGCAGAGCCAAACTTGATGGCAATCTGGCGCATGCGCTCTAAATCTCCATTTTCCTCCGCCTCCAGATACTCCTTCTGTGCTTGTAGCTTCTCCACATCAGGGAAGAAGTCTCTCTGGATAACTGTCTGAAGTCCCTGCCATAAGCAATCAGAACAAAGGCCAGGGTTGGCATCTGGGAGTTCTAACTCACAGTCCACCCCTTAGACCTTTCCCTTCTGCCTACCTGGACGACTGCAAGATAGTTTAGAAGCGTTTTCTAGTAAGGCCGCTCATCCCACATGGCTCTGATATATTATTTAACATTACTGAACAATCGCTTGAAACCCATGAAATCCTTTACTAACTGATCTTTCTCTTTGCTGGCTCCATCTAAAACACCAGCCAGACTAATGTGGATATTGTCATCCTCGTCCCACCCATGAATTTGTATTTCAATCTAATCCTTTCTCTTGAAAGACAGTCACCACTACTGACACCACAGGATAAAGTCCGGAAGATTTCACCTCCGGCCAGATCTCGCTGTGAAGCTGCAAGTCTGTAAAGTTAGCTGCATGGCGATGGTACAAGCCAGCATATCTCAGAAGCATCCTAAATCTAACCAGTCTAAAACCAACCCTATGTCAGCCTGTCCTCCAGCATGTTTACAGTGGGACCCTTAAACTCCAGAAGCAACTGAGACCCACTCATTCAATGATGTGGCCAGTTCCACTGTCTAATTCCAGGACCCCCAGCCTTTGATATTTTACAACCTTCCAGAAAGTCGTCTTTGTCATCACTCGAAAACTGTGTCAAAATTCTACCTATTCTACAGGAAAACTATTTCCTTGACCCTCAACAGAAAACTAGATGCACATTTCTGCACTATTTTCTCGTTCTCAGTGCTTCCCAAACCCAAAGACAGTTGTTTCACTTCCATGGGCGGCTGAGAGTGCCAGGACCAGAACAAATTCAAAGGACTAGAGAGGAACCCGAATCGGGTGAGGGGCCCGGAAGTCGCCAGCGCTCGCACTGAGCTGGTACCTCGATGTACTCTTCTTCATCCAGGACCCGCTGCCTGCTTCTCGCAATCCCGGCCTCTCCGGCCTCCCCAGCCGCGCGCTTCCTCGGGGGCGCAGACGCGGTGGACAGAAACAGAGCACCCGCCGAGGCCCCGGGCGTCCCCATCGCTATCCCAGAACCGCTCGGGCGGCGTCGGCACCACTCCAACAGCCAGCCAATGGAGAAGCAGTATTTTTATAATAAAGCCGGCGCTCCGATGATGTCACTGGGAGCGCCGGATCTTAAAGAAGTTGTAGTCTTTTATCCCCACCCACTTTTCTCATGCCTGTCTAGACTATGATCACTAGGGGGAGCTGTGGGGTAACAGTCCCTCTGTTACAAGTTCCAATTTTTTTTCTTTTAAATTGCAGATACTTCAAACACATTTTTATTTTTTATTTTTTATTTTTTGGTTTTTCGAAACAGGGTTTCTCTGTGTAGTTCTGGCTGTCCTGGAACTCACTCTGTAGACCAGGCTGGCCTCGAACTCAGAAATCCGCCTGCCTCTGCCTCCCAAGTGCTGGGATTAAAGGCGTGTGCCACCACTGCCCGGCTTCAAACACATTTTTAAATACTTCAAAAAATTTGATTATATATGACTTGCAAAATCAGAAAAAGAACGCTAAGACAATTCTTCCCATATAGTTATCTAATAAAATTTAAATGAAAAGAAAGTACAAAAGTGTGCTTAAATTTCTGGTTGGGTTTATTAGTTCCCTGCCTGCCAAGGTGGGCTTCCCAGAAGAGGCCTGTTCTCACTGAAAGCATTCATGAAACTTTCTTTCTAAGGGAGATTATGAATTAGATGAAACAAACTCTAGCCCAGAATGATTTGTTACAGTTTTGCTTTTCCAATGATCTCTTCCTTCATTGTGAATCACTGGGGACTTTCTGACGATGTCCCTGCCTCCATAGAGTTGGCCATACAAAAGAAAAAACACATATAAATCATCCTACAAATGTGTAAAGTTACATCTGTGACCTGCAAGATGTCTGAACTCAGAGAATCTCAATTTCTACACAGGACATGTCAAGTGGCATGTTCCCAGGCAGAGCATGTTTGTAGATTGTAGGTGAATGGATAGGCATCAGGTAGACACGTGCAAAGGCCCAGCAGTGGGAGGGAGCAAGGCAAAGCAGATCTTTGGTTACACAGTTCAGGAAGAAGGATATGATGGCAAAGCCAAGTCGCACAGTATCTTTGGGGTCCTGGCAAGAAATACTATTTTTATTTTTAATCACAGGGAGGCCAGAGTGAGCTCAAGTGAAAACCAGAGAAATCTGCAATGGTCACCGCGCAAGGGAGTTCAGCTTTCATGAGGTTGATGTTCCTGAAACTGCAGAGACTCTAGTTTCTGGGGTTTACTGATATGTTTATATGTGAAATCAGATGGACTGGTGTGATTAGGAAATGTACAGAAAGCAATTAGTGATCAAGAACTCTGTGATTTATGTGCCTTAAACAGGCCAGCGAATGGAGAAATGACTTGCTATATATATATGGTGCCTGCAACAAGTCTGTGGGCTTCCAAGTGTTGTCAGAGGGACAGACTGACAAATACCTAGCTCAAAGGACAGGCCTGAACTGGAGACAGAGATAAATGTGGCAAAGAGGTGGGAACTGGAGCCCAAGGATGGAAAAGATACATCAAGAAGAGTATGCAGGGGGCTGGAGAGATGGCCCATCTGTACAAGCATCTGTGGCTCTTCCAGAGGATCTGAGTTCAGTTCCCAACACCTACCTAGTGGCACACAACTATCCATAACTCTACTTTCAAGGGTTCTTATACCCTCTTCTGATCTCCATGGGCACCAGGAAAACATGTGGTGCACATGTATGTATGCAGGCAACATACACAAATGCACACTCGTGAACACAACCAAAGATTCCCCCATCTGTGAAGCTGGTTGGTAGTGCCTAGAGGCCTAAGGGAGCAAATCCCCAGGAGGCCTTGCCACCAGGCTTTAATTCTGATGGGGGAAACACGGTACTGGGACTGGGGACTTTGTGGAGCTGTGCTCTGCAACACATGTTGATCTCCGCCCCCCCCCCCAACTCCCTGGAAAGGGGGAGAGAAGCCAGCTCCTCATTGTTGTGGAAACAAAGCCTGAGCCTCAGAATCCTGGACTGTTCTGTGGTCTTTGTAGATCTTGTTTTTTTCTTGGCATCAGCTCAAGGCTGCAGAAGCAGAAGGTGCAGATGCAGGGATCTGGAAATGACCAGCTATAACCTTCTTCTTCCACAGGTCCTGACACCAGGGCCCAGTGCAGAGCCTTTGAGGACAGAGTAAGCCCAGGACTGAACAGACAGCACTGCCTTGCATAAGAAGGTGGAAGGGCAGAGAAGAGGGAGTTTTGAGGACAGGTGTGAGGTGGGGAGGACTGCTCTGCATCCTTCGTGGAACTAGGGTTTCTCTAGGTGCTGATGGCGGCTGAGAAGTCACCTGTTCTGTGTCTGCACTTTACCTGCAGAAGGTCTCTGCTTCCTGCCCCACATGCCCTCCCTTCATAGGTGAGAAGGCTTTGGATCCACTGTCTCCCAGCACTGGCAGCTTCAGTTCCTGTTCAAGTAGGTCGGTCCCCCTCCTACTTCCTTGTGCTCCACTTCACCGCCAAAGCCAGAAGAACTAGACACCATCAACAACTCTCCTTGTGAGGTTTCTTAGTCCCAGGCAGGAGCCTTGATGACGAAGCACGCTTTTGGTGTCGCCACTTGGCCCGGCGGTTCTTGAACCAGACCTGAGGAGGAGGGAGACCAGGACAGCTCAGGGCCCAAGGACCCACCGTCCAAAGAACTTTGGAAGAGCTGATAGGTGGGCCAGGTGGTAGGCTTCACCCTGGAGGTGTAGGTGAATAGATCTGTGGCACCTCCTTCCCTCATACACAAAGGATCAAGACTCACTGCTTTCATTGTCTTCCCAGCCTGAGCCCAGTAGCAACCAGGATATATCTCTCCACCCTCCTGTTTCCAGTATCTCCCCATTCTCCCCCACAACCTCCACCCCCGTGTAACCTAGGTGGCTTCTCACTATGTGAGGAGAATTACTTTGATTAACTCATGATCCTCCTGCCTCCATCTCCCCAAGTGTTGGGATTACAGATGCATGCCTCCTGCCTAGTTTTGCACATTTCTAAATTTTCTCACATCTGGGGCAGGAACAAACGCGTATCTTATCATCAGGGGAAACTGGGGAGCCAGACAAAGTCAGAGAAAACGACCCTTATCCCCTTCCAGTTCCAGCGACATCCAAATAGTGTGCTGGAAGAACTGCCTCCGCGCTCACATCGAGTGATCATGAGGGGGAGGGTCTCCTTCCTATGTAGAACGCTATGAGGAAGCACCGCCTGGAAGTTCGGTCTTTGAAAGTGAAGAGTGGCGCCGGAGTTGGCCCCCAGACTGCTGGCCGAACACCCACCTCCACGCGCTCCTCCCGCAGGCGGATGCGGACCGCCAAGCGTTCGCGCGTGCCCACGTCGGGATACTGGTTCTGTACGAAGAGCGCCTCGAGCGCCTGCAGCTGCTCCTCGCTGAAGATGGTGCGGTGGCGCCGCGTGCGCCGCTGCGGCCCGGGGCCGCTCGTGCCAGTCAGCGCCGGGGAGCCTGCGCTCCGCGCCGTCAAGGGGGAGGGCGACACCGGCGCCAGCCCCAGCGGCCACGCTAACCGCAAGCCTGCGGGGCCGGAAGGGGTGGGGTGCGGTCAGGCGTAGGGTTAGGGTTAGAGTTAGGGTTAGGGGGAGCCAGGCTTGCCCCTCCGGCTGCCCCGAGAGATCCCCGCCTAGCCTTGCTCCTCCGCGCGCACTCACCCGGCCCGGACACCGTCTCCGGGGTTCCGCGGGGCGCAGCGCGCGGGTTGCAGCAGCAGCAGCAGGCGCAGGGTGCAGCGGGGACGGGCGCCACGGGTTCGTCTGGCTCGGCGGGGTTCCTACCACCAACCGGCTGCGGTGGCCGCGCAGCGGGCCTGCGCTCCGGCAAGCTGGAGAGGATGTGCTCGATGGAGAAAGGGCAGGGTCTCCCGGAGTCCCTGCGGCTCGCCTCGCTGCCTGCAGTCGCCATGCCCGAGGGCGGCCGGCGCGAGAGGCAGAATATATAGGGGGGTGGGGGGTGCGGTAATCCCCAGACCGGGCTCCGCGTTCGCTCGTGCTAATCTGGTCGTCAGCCCTCAGAGAGCTAATCCCCGGCCACGGAGGAGGGCGAGCCCCTCAGTCTGGGTACTGGGGCTGCGAGGAGGGAGCCCTGAGCTCCGCCACGTCCAGAGGGGTCAGGAGCCTCCCCCCCCCCCATCTATATCTCCTATGGCACAGTCGCCTGCCCGGAGAGTTGCCAAGACCCTGGAAACGTCTAACTCACAGGATTCCACCACCGCTCTGCCCCTGGGTAGTTCTGTCGCTACCTGTGAAACTGGAGATTCCTGGAAAAAGGCTTTCTACCTCACCTACTTCGACGGAGCTCAGCACCCTGTCAGTAGGATAACCCCACTTGACAGTCCTAGCTCACTTTGAATCCCCAGTCTGAACCCCCTGTAACAAATATCATCTCAGGGCGGGAGGAGGAAGCTGAGACTGACTTCCTACGCATAAAGATTTGCCTGCTTCTTGTCTCCTGAGTGCTGGGGTCAAAAGCGCGAGCGAGCCGCTAATTCTGTGCCTTCTTTCTAGAGTCTAGAAGATTTTCCTAACCCTGTCTAAGGCTGGTACTCTTGTTATCTCCTGTTCTAGGGTTCCTGACGCCTTGCCTGGCTCCTTCGTACACCAACTCCCTCACAGCACATTGCCCAGGCCAGTTCTGCTTTGTCTACAGTATAACTTCTGCTCGCTGTTCTTCCCAACCGTGAGCAAATACTGGCCCAATTTACATCATTCTCAATTATGAAGCTTTGGGCCTCTGGCACTTTGCATAAGACACTTAGTTTTTTGATCTCTGAAAATATGTTGTGCATCTTGCAAGACAGAGCAGCAGACTGCCTCACATTTACTAAGCTCTGTGGCTTGTCTAATGTCGTAATACTGATCAACTATCAAGAGTTCTTCCTAAGGGGACATGTTGAGAATGGTGAGCCAAGTCTATGGTCGCAGGATTCCAAGGGCTCCAGAGACGGAGGCAAGAGGATTACTGTGGGAGAAACGCTAGTCTAGTGAGATCTGTATGGGGCGGGGGGGGGGGACTGGTATGGTGGTACCTTTAATCCCAGCATTCGAGAGGCAGAGAATGACAGATCTTTGTGAGTTCCTGGCTAGCCAGAGCTACATAGGGAGACCCTGTCTCAAAAGAAAAATGATTTGTTCTTAGGGTTTAAGCAGTTACTTCGTGTAAGATGTCCAGAACTCTGGACATGGAGTTGAGGGTTGAGGGCCCAGGAACATTAGCTACCAGAGTAGGCAGCGTACCCAGTCACCGTCTCCCACCTTACCAAGTCCTCTTATAAGTTCTTCTTTGGACTGCACTCTATCTAGCACCAGTGAGGACTCTATAGACTTGAAGTGACAGACATTGGGGGCTCCTCTGTCATAAGAGTGTCCAGAGTGTGGTCATCTGAAAGGCTTAGGGGTAGCACCACTAATTCTGTGTGACCTTTCAGCCTGCCTCAAGGTTATAGAATGGCTGCCACAGCCCCAGACCTCCTATGTATTCCCTTGGATGTAGAACCCTTATCTAGCAGACCTTCATGTGGAACCATAGAACATCTGTGCCTAAACCAGCCACAATGCCCAGGGTGTGAGGCGGCCAGTTACTCTCACATTGGAGCTCTGCTCGGAATGGTTACAGCAAGGCCGGGGCCAGGAAGACCTCTCTGGTGTCTTCCCCTTTCTCTGCTCATGGCCTTGCTTCCTATCTCTTGTATTTCTCTCCCTGTAGGGAGATGACATGGTGCTCTGCCAAAGCTGTACCCTTGGGGACTTCTCCCTCAATGCCGCCACTCAGGACCACATTGAGGTGTCAATGAGCCAGGCTCTGTGCAGGTGGCAGTCATTTGTGCATGTGGCTTATTTGTATCTTCTGAACTTGCTTAGAGCTGACTGGGGCAATGCCACTTTGTGTGTGTGTTAGTGTCTTGTGATACTATTTCTGAAAGTATCAAGCAAACAAGCTTGATACTCACCCCAAGTAGGGAACCAGTGATAGCCAAAGTAAGAACACTACTGAAGTTTAACTTGGTAGCGTTCCTAGGAATATGGTTGAGGGGTTACTTACAGCAACAGAAATGACTCAGACACCGCTGTAGTACTGTGACGGATTGAATGACACTGGCCCCGTAGGCGCAGATGTTTAATATTTGATCCCAGTAGGTGGCGCTGTTTGCATAGGTTTAGGAGGCGTGGCTTTGCTGAAGGGTTTACTTTCAGCAGGCTTTGAGGTTTAAAAGCCATGATAGGAATGAACTCTTATTCTTCTAAAATTGTAAGCCCAGAAACCCTCCTTCTTTAAGTTGCCCCACCATGTTTTATTACAGTAATAGACACATAACAAATATCCTGTCCTGCATGGGTGACAGCTCTTAAAAGCTGCAGGAAGCTGGTCTTTGTTTGGTTTCAGATGGGGGACAAGGGACTGAAGTGCATATTTTACACACCAAAGCAGACCTGGCCTCCAGGTTCTTCCAGCATCCTCCAGTGCCTACCTGGCATATCCTGCTCCCAACCCTGAGCTTTCTGGGTGCAGGGGGGGAGGGGCGGTCACTGAGCTGTCCTTTCCTCAGAGGTTCCTCCCTGTATAATTTCAGATATTTTGTGCCCATGTACCCTGTCTCCCTCCCTTTCCCCCTTCCTCCTCTTCCTCCTCCTCCTTATGAACTTATGCCTGGGTACTGAAAACCTAGCCAACTGTGTAATGCTAGTGAAGTCATGGATCCTGGAGGAGAACCTACAACCACCATTATAAACAGATGTGGAAACATGAAAAGCAGTGCAAAGGAAGAGTTGTGATAGTTTGTTTATCTCGTAGATCACCCTGCCGTAAAAGATGTGGTCCGAGCTGGACAGGCCGGGCATTGTGAATCCCTGATACCCCAGTTCTTGGGAGCTGGAGACAGGAGGATCAGGTTTCCCAAGCTATTTAGCATCTCTTTCTCCTGGAAAGAACCGAGTTCCATCAACACCATTCACTCTTAGCACAAAGACCTTCTTCTGCTATTTCTTGGAGCTCAGGGCTGAAGATCATCTTAGTTTTGTTTACCTAAAAGTGCCTTGATTCTACCTTTAACCATGAAGGATCTCTTTTCCTGTTAATGGATTCCTGGGTGTGTGGCGTTTCCCCGGTTTCCCTCACTCTGAACACATTGAAAATGCTATTCCACTGGGAATGGCCTTGTTTGTTTGTTTTGGGACAGGTTCTCACAGACCCCAAGCTGACCTCAAAGAGATTATGTAGGAGGATGATCTTGAAAACATGTCTCAAAAAAGGGAGGGAAAAAACTACACACACACACACACACACACACCAGTTATGTATTTAAAGCTAAACATGGTGGCAAACATCTGGACTCTCAGAATTTAGGAGATGAAGCGGAAGGATCCAGAGTTCAAGATCATTCTTAGTTACATAGTCAGTTGGAGGCTAGCCTGTACTACAATAGACCCAATCTTAAAAACAGACAAAACCCAGAAATGCCTCGTGGAGCTGGTGTGATGCTGAACATCTATATCTCAGTACTCAGAGGAAGAGGCAGGCAGACCTTTTCAAGTTTGAGGGAAGCCTGGTCTACATAGTGAGTTCCAGGCCAGCCAAGGCTACATAGTGAGATCATGTCTCAAATAAAATAAAGTAAAATAAAATAAAATGGGGCTGTGATATAGCTTAATAGTAGAGCACAAGCACTGGGACCTAGGTTCCAGCCCAATCCCCCACACTGCCATGTAGCACTCGTTGTAGCTGTGTCTTTAATATTATTACCTTTTACATGAAGCATTATTATCTGTAAGCGAACTCTAAAAGAGAAGGTGCTACGTTGTAATTCCTGCAGATACCAGTAAAAAATGCCAAGTGGTATAGCTAATAAAAAAAAATTAAAATGGTCAGGACAGATGGCTCATGTCAGTAGTCCCACTACTCCAGAGACTGAGACTGGAGGGTCATTTGGGCCCAGGAGTTTAGAGCCAGCCTGGATAACATAGCAAGATTGTCAAAAGGAAAGAGAAAGCAAAGAGTGGGCTGGGGGTGTAGCTTGGTGGTAGAGTGTTTGCCTACCATGAACAAGGCCTCAGATTTGGTCCTGAGCACCATAAAAAGAAAAGAGAGGAAACTGAAAGAAAAGTTAAATGGGTTTGCTGTATTAAAACAAACCAAGGACTGAGAAGTGGCTCTGTGGTTAAGAATACTGGCTGCTCTTACCGAGGACCTGGGGTAGGTTCCCAGCACCCACTTGGTAGCTCATAGCTATCTGTAACTCCAATTCCAGAGGGTTGGACACCCTTTTCTGGTCACCATTGGCACTCCATAAACATGGTCTACAGACAAATATCAAGCAAACAGTGGTTCATATTTTTTTTAAATCCTGAAAGCAAATCAAGATGAGGTAGGAAGAGATAAATAGAGAAATAAACCTGTAAATGAGGAAAAGCCACAAAAAAGGCAAAATAATAAGCCTAATTCAGCTACATTAATACTTGTATTAAAGTTGATCCGAGGGGCTGGAGAGATGGCTCCGTGGTTAAGAACACTTGTTGCTTTTGCAGAGGGCCAAGTTTGTAGCCTGGGGCCAACATAATGGCTCACCACTGCCTATAACTCCAGCTGTAGAGGATGAGACGCTCTTTTCAGACTTTTACCACACCATCACACAAGCACACACTTTGCCACTCCCTTGGTTCATATTTTGACACGAAGTCTTACTATTGTAACTTAAACTGGTGTCACACTTACCATACAACCAAGGCTGGCCTTGAACTTGATCCCCTACCTCCAGTTCCCAAATGTTAAGATTATATAGCCATGTGTCACTAACACTGGCTTAGGTCGAAATTTTTAAAATATAAGACTTAACTATTAGGGATTTTTTTTTTTTTTTTTTTTTTTTTAGCAGAAAGACACCGGTGAGCTAAAAAGGAAGATAAGGAATGGACACACAGCATGCTCAGGAAAGCTAGAAG